TATATATATATATATATATATATATATATATATATATGTGTGTGTGTGTGTGTGTGTGTGTGTATGTATGTATTTGAAAAAATATGAGGGAAAAATTGGGTATCAATAGCCAGTCTGCATCAAAATCACCTTTGAAATTATCTAGGTTCTTGTCTCGATCCCGCCCCTTGGTTGATGTCGGGAACCCGAGCTGATCGTCTTTTTTCCTTATTTTCGACTCATAGCGATTATGAACATTCACTGATGTGGTCTCTTGGAATTAGAGCAAGCTTTCCTTCAGCTTTCGGGAGGCGTCGAAGCTCCTCAGATTCAAACCCTTTGTGAATGCCTCCGTTGCCCATTCGTCTGGTACGGCCGGTAGCAGCATCCTCTCTTTTTAGAATCTGATCACGAATTCCCGCAACAATTCGGACTCACCATGTGCGATCCTGAATATGTCCGCCTTCCTGGCTTAGACCTTTCTGGCCTCAGCGTGAGCCTTTATGAAGAAATCTGCAAGCATCTCAAAAGAGTCAATTGAATATTTGGGTAAGAGTGAGTACCATGTCCAGGCCCCCTTCGTGAGGGTTTCTCAAATTTGTTTTAGTAGAACCGATACGATCTCATGTTGAGCCAAATCGTTTCCTTTCACAGCTATTGTGTAAGTTGTGATGTGCTCCTGAGGATCCAAAGTCCCATCGTATTTTAGTATGTCCAGCATCCTGAACCTCTTCGGGATTAACTCCGACGTTGCGTTCAGTTTGAACGGCAACTGAGAACACTTTTTGGAATCTAGGCCCTTCAAAACTGGTGGTGCGCCCGGAATCTGATCCATTCGGGCGTGAAACTCCTTTGCGTTTTGATCTATCCGCTCATTCATCTCCCTTATGAATCTCATGTCGTCTGATTTTTAGGGACGTCGGGAGGAACCGGACCCCTTTCATTTGCGTTGTTGGAAGCGCTAAACTACGCCTGCTTCAATTCCGTCATGACTTGATCGTGCCTTGAGAGGTGGCCCATGATGGTTTTTTGTTGCTCTCTTAGGATCCTTACTGTTTCCGCAACGTGTTCATCTTTCGCGTCGTCGGGAGTTGGATCTCGTACATGTCAGGGGTACTGTCCTCCACAGACCGGGATTGCCTCATCCCCCTCATTGCGGCTGTCGCTGATTGAATCCTCATGTTGAGGTAGATTTTCATGTCCCTCAACGTTATGTGCGATGTTGATATCGTTAGCTGCCATTTTCGTTTTTTTCTAAGGAACAACGAATCAAACAAGTTAGTAATAAACACAAGGATCAACTCAATTACGCAACTGTCAAGCCCCACGGTGGGCGCCAAACTATTTAGCCGTAAAACGGTACAGTTGAATATGTTACGTGGTTTATAGACAGGCGAACTGATTAGATCTAAAAATAATAAATAAACAAGATTAAAAATAAGACTTAGCGGTTAAAATCAAAGAAAATGACGCGCTTGGCTCCGAGAGCAATGCCTCCGACGACAAAAATAAGAACAATGTAAAGAGCAAATAAAGTTATTTTATTGAGCTTGAGAATGGAAATAGCATAAGTCTTGCCAAGAATTTTGTGTCTTACAATGGTTGTTCAGCCTACTATTTATAGCCATACCTAGGGAAACAAGATCCTAGGATCAAGCCCCTCTTAAATGATAATAAAGGGGTTATTGATGAATATGTAACAGCAGGCCATGAATGTACATATTCTTTGCAAGGCTGCCCATTTAATGCCGGGGAATATTATTCATTGAATGCTATCCGACGGCAAAAATTCGATATGCTTATGTTGATCATTTCCCCTTCGGGGACTATCCGATGCCAACTGCAGCTGTTGTTCCTGGTACGAGTTGCTACTTGATTTACTTCTACCTGTCTTCAGTTCCACGTGTGACGCTACTATTCGATCATTTAATATAAACCAATTTTATGCTATACAATACTATAGTGTCATCACTACATGTAAAAAAAAAAAAAGAACAACAACAACAATAAACGTAAACATTAGATAAAGCATTTTAAATTCATAGTAAAAATAGATCCCCTACCTACTAGCAAAGGAGAAAGAAAACAAAGAAGGGGGCCCTTTTCTTTTTGAGAATATTTCAAACCACTTCAAGAAGATATTTTTACAAAGATCTTTTCGGTTAAGTTTAGGGAAATAAAAATATAGGAAGAGCCAAGAAGGAAGAAATAATTAGAGAAAAGTCCTTGTGCTTTTTAGACCACAAAATGAATTAAATAGGAGTATATAATAACGGTCCATGTGATCTGAAAATCTGCAAGTGCGAGTTTCAACTTTCAAGAGTTTCTTTCCATAATTCATGCACCAAAATACGATTGATTGGAATATCTGAATTCTTCTTCATTCAAAACAAAACTCCCCTCTAGATATTTTCATCTATTTTTTGCTTCTCACTCTCTCACACAAAGACATGTAAGCTCTTTTATCTTACCAGGAAATTAATGGCTACCACTTAATATTTGGTTAATCAAATTCTGTGAAGTTATTGTGTACTTACTAATCTATGTTTAAATCATAGAGAGAGCCTACCTTTTGTTTATTTTACGAAAAAAGCTCTAGTTTAACTTCTTCTTTTTCTTTACTCTAAGCATATGAAACTATCTTCTGTTAGTGGTGTTCATGTTTCTTGATTAGTTTTCTTGTTTTGTTTCAATTGAAGCTGAAGAATAAGAATTGCAAGGTATATTTCTGAAAGTGTGCCACATGGGATAGGAGTTAATCCTTACTGAAAACGATAAGAGTCTTTGAGGCAGAATTAATCAGTATGGAATCACTGATTAAACAGTCATTTGATAGTTACTCAGCAGGGTTCCAAGAATCTCTTGATGAATTGTCCGATAATTTCACGATTACTGATCCTTACATTTCTGGTAACCCCATTGTTTATGCTTCAAAGGGGTTCTTGAAAATGTTTGGATATTCAAAGTATGAGGTGATTGGGATGAATGGCAGGATATTTCAGGGTCCTAAGACTAATAGAAGATCGGTTATGGAGATTCGTGAGGCAATTCGAGAGGAAAGGACTATACAAATCAGTTTGTTAAATTATAGGAAAGATGGGACACCATTTTGGGTGTTGTTTCATATGTGTCCTGTTTTTGGTGAGAAGGATGGGAGATTGATTCATTTCTTGGGAGTTCAAGTCCCTATCTTGAGGAATGGAGTGAATTTATGCCAAAATGGAGCTGGCTGTCGAGAGTCTGTATTTAGGTGTTATAAGAAAGAAGATTACTACAATTCAATCATGAAATTTGAACGGGAACTATCTCTTGCTTCAGGTTCAGATTTGACAGGTACATTCTGGTTGAAATATATCTAGTTAAGTGATATAATTGATTGTGACACTAAACAGTACATATGCCCCTAAAGATGTATGTAACCTTATCTCAGCTTTCCTCTCACATGATTGCTGGAAATTTACTTAGTTGCTGAAAAACTAGAATACAGGCTTATCTTTACTTGGCTATCTTTGTTTGATTTCTTTTGAAGCTTAACTTTTGTTGTCAAAAGAAAGAAAACATAATATATGCATGGAAAGTGTAGCCCTGATAAGATGAAAGAATTTGGATGAGATTTTAACGAAATTGTGGTGCCTAAATGAAAGGAATTCAAATGTGTAGACTCGGTCTTTCAGGAGAATAGCATGATAGATGAAGATGTAATATAAAAAATTAATTGGATGGTAGCACAATTGATGAAGATGTTACACAAAAAGTTAATAGGGTGGTTGAAATGGAGGAGTGTCACTGGAGTGTTATGAGATAAGAAAATACTTAACAAAGTGAAAGGGAACTTCTATAAAATGGTAGTAAATGTTGGGCCTCTAAGGCCTAACATATCCACTAGATGAGTATCATAGAAATGTGAACGCTGTGTGGATGTGAGTACTACAATATTAAACAAGATTCGACATTATCTATTTGACATATGGTGCAAGTAGCACAAAAGTAGGATAAATGAGAGAATATTGCCTAAGATGCATGTTTGGCCATGTCCTATTGGCTCATAAGAGCGATACTATGATGAGTGAAGATGCAAAAAGCCAATGAGCTAGACATAAAATCAGATGGAGGGAAGTTGTCTTAGAAGACGTTCAATATCTCGGAATTAATGTTGACTTTGCTAAGATTATGACATAACAGAAACAATTGATTTATATACGCGACACTAACTAGTTGAGTTTAAAACTTAATTAGTATTGTTCAAGGGTTTTCTTAATCTGCTAAGAGATTTATATAGCTGACGTCAACTAGTTTGGAATTGAGGAGTAGTCAATTGATTGATTGAATTAGATAGGACATGTCTCTATTGTGCTTTGAAATGGAAACTCTTTTTTTGATGACATTGCTGAAAAGTTTGAATTTGCATTATTAGCAAATGTATAAGTGACTTGACTTTAATGTGGATTCCATTTCTCCAACCATGTTATGATGAAAATTTGCAGTATCCAGATTATTTGTGAACTTGTGTGTACTAGAATTAGCAAATGCATAAGTGACCTTATGTTGCTTATTGTGCAATTGGTTCCTTTTATCCACAAAACTTGTCCGTCGCAGGAATAGATGTTGAGGGGCCTTGTGATGCAAGTGATCTAGAGAAGAGAAAAGCCACTGCTTCTGTTAACAACATACAGACTTTGCTAACACATTACAGTGAATCAACAGGCAGACCGGTCCATGGGAACCAATGCTCTCCGTCTGGGATGGGTCTGCTCAGAGCGTCCTTAAATAGATCTCTTGGTAGAATCAAACAAAGCTTTGTACTGTGAGTTTTTTTGTAATTCTTTAGTTTTTCATTGTTACACTTGATATGATTAGGTTTTGGATAGTTTTTGACACGTTTGGCGCTATTTTTTCCTTAACTTGCAGAACTGATGCAAACTTACCTGACATGCCAATTGTCTATGCAAGTGATACCTTCCTAAATTTAACAGGTACTGAATATGTTATACTTAATCCTTTGTTTTGTTGGCTCTTGATAGGAACATGTGGAGGTCGAGCATTAGGGTGGTGGGCTAGGGGGTAGTCGAGAGTTCTTCCCTCTTTGTACCGGGTACTGATAGAGTTTTGTTTAGGTTTGTTAGCGGTCTATGCTGTGTTCACATGGTTGGTTGCATAGTTTTGTGTTATTATCCTTTCCCTTATTCGTTGTTGTTATTTTCTTTCTAGTATCTTTTGTTGTTACATGCCTTTTCTTTTGTTTCTTTTCTGATATTATTGTCTCTCTTGTTGAGCCGAAAGTCTCTTGGAAACAGCACGCTACTCTCCCCAGACCCCACTAGTGGGATTTTACTGGGTATGTTGTTGTTGTTGTATAAGTTTTCATTCTTGGCGGGAGAGTGAGGGTGAAGGAATATACTTCTTAAGTTATACTGGTAGTTACTAACTGGATTGATTCTTTTCTTCCCATTTTGGATAGGCTTTTCCAGAGACGAAGTCTTGGGCCATACAGATGCAAGCACACAATTTCGGGTGATTTTCTCTTGTTTTCATCCTTGATGGATAGAGGGAGGGTGAAGAAATATATCTACTCTTATTTGTTCAATTTTGTGCTTTGCATTTCCTAGATTATCGGCATGAGATTTAATACTCTGAAATATTAGTAGCTGTGAGCTTAGGAGAAGAACATATGGAGATAACACATGATCTAAATCCCATTCGTTATTATTCTCTTTGCAGATAAAAGAATGCATCCAAATTGAACAACCATGTAATCTACGCATGTTAAATCACAGGTTGGCTGCTGTTCTTGCAAGTTATTTAGATACAAATTAAATGTTGTTTCTCTAAGCTAAGTCTCTTGTCGCTACATATTTTCTTTCAGAAAAGACGGAACCTCATTTTGGCTTCACATTTCACCAGTACGGAATGCTTCAGGAAAGGTAATTATTCGCTAAATCTCTTGTCATGTCATCTAAATCGTCAAATTCCTATTTGAGTGGAGATTTTTCTTAAAAGCTGATTAATCTCAGTTCTCTTGTTGCATAAAAAGGGAAAGGAGAGAGTAGATAACAAGAATATTTTTCATGTATAAGCAAGTTTATTGGGTTAACAAGTTCCGAACAAATTCAAATAGTTGAGTAAGTTGACCCAAGAGCTGAGGCCGAGCCATATTTGTGGCATGCATGTTTGTCATTTCAATTTAAAATATATAAAAATACAAGTGACCTGCTTCTTTGTTGATTTCTGTACATTCTTTTGACATATCCATTTGAAGATTTGAGGTAGTCTGAGATGCTTCACATGCGACATTTGGTTCTCATGCATCAATAGTAACGGCTGAAAGATAAATCTTATTTGCTTCAAGGTTAGGCTGGCTAGGAATATTTCATTTTAATTCAATGTCAGCTCACACCTGTAGTAGGCTGGATGAGTCCCAACGCTCTTGATCTAAGTTTGTATTGACATCTTTCATACACTTAATTAATATTGATGTTTACTGTTAAAGAAATCAATCTGCAATACTATAAAGAAGAGAATGAAAAAGTTGATTTCTGAAATTGACATTTGGTTCTACCTAGTTAGCAGTGTCTAAAACTAAGCCAAACAGTTCAAAGAAATTAGAAATAGAAAAGGAATTGTAGGATGTCTAGCCAATCTCTATAGATACTTGTACGCATACAATGGTTTCTGATTCTGCCCCATTTGGCTTAACAGGTTGCATACTTCGTTGCTGTTCAGAGTGAAGATAATAGCGAGACTAAGGAGAAAAAGGGGTTAAGGCAGCATGGCGTTGTTGCTGCTGTGAAAGTTGCTGTGAGAGGCTTTTCAATGGGTGTGAGCACGTGCTAGTACTTGAACAAACTCGGCCTTTACTTTTGCACTATTAATCACCACGGAGTCCGTTAGCGCCAGAGGAAATGCATACTAGCAGAATATTTTGGATTTGTTGTTCCTTTTAATCAGGGTCGGCTCAACAAGATTGGTGGCCTAACTCCAATTTTTAACCTGGAGCCTTTCAGAAAGGAAAAAAAAATTTCATTAGTCGATTTTTTTAACTTTTTAAGATGTTGTTAATAGTTTCTTTTTATAAAAAATTTAATCTCTCCTAGGACATTGTTGTTCTTAGATAATAGAACCAGATTCAAGAAGTTGATAACTTGATATCGAAGTAATTTTTGATGTTCTAATATACTTGTTGAAACGCTTGAAACCTGAGAGGAAAAAAGGGAAAAAAGAATGTGAATATAGTTTTATTCAACGGTACCCTTCAATTCTGGTATTTTATAGAAAAAATAAAACTCTTTTCTTTTTATGGAGAACAATATAATTTTTAATTGGAGAAAGAGAATCACTCCCCCTAAACCCTATCGCGAATATAAAACTTTTTATTATTTAAATTTTACGATTAATATAATTAGTGAAGTACTTATATTATTATTCTCCTTTTACATTCTCACTAAAAACGTGTAATAAACTTTTAGAATCCATTTTTTGGTATCTTCAATAGAGCAAGTCTTATTTTTTGTCTTTACCTTCTTTAAAATATATTACTTTTTTATTTTAGAATACCCAATATATTTAGACCCTACCTCTAAAGATTGCTGTGAGATGTGTATGATCCAACTTACCTTAATTAAATATATTGAGATCGAGTCCTGTGGTTAAACAAATCATGTTAAAATGTGTTCTCTCTTTTACCAGGCCTTACGTGGTATAAATCTAGATTAGTCGGGATCTCAATACAGTATAATATATAGGTTTATGAGAACTTAGTAGTTTTTGTCTAGACCTTGTATATGTATCAAGAAATCCACTAGATATCTATAATTTATAAATAAATACTTAAATGTGAGCAAGTTATTATTATATATTGACTTGAGGATGTTATAGGAACCTGTAAATATACGTTACACGTTTGGAATTTAATGAATCGTATATATTCATTGCCTAATATAGCTGGTTACCATGATTGGACTAGTTAGCTTTGTTGCTGAAATCCAGGTTCTGCGTTGTTCTTCAATTCATGGAACGCAGACTCCTTTTGAAATGAAATGCATTTCATTTAAGGTTGGTGCTTAGTATTATTGGTGTAGATGAGTAGAAATAGCGTGGGATAGCCTCTTTTTACATGGTATTTAGTTTTTATCCAGTATTTTTAAAGTTGAGCAAAAATAGCCACTACTCTATTAAAATTAATACGAAAAGATGTTTTTACCCTTTCTTCATGAGTGCTGTGTAAATATTAAGGACATGGTGTCCTTAACATTTACGCTGTACACATGAAGTTAAGGACGCCATGTCCTTATCATTTACACTGAACATATGAAGTTAAGGACTTGACAGGACACTTTGTCCTTAACATTTACACAGCATTCATGAAGTTAAGGACACCATGTCCTTAATATTTACACAACACTCATAAAGTTAAGGACACTATGTCCTTAACATTTACACTGCGTATATGAAGTTAAGGACATGAGGTAAAATTTAACAACAAAAGGTGCAAATACAAGTTAAGGATATTATGTCCTTAACATTTATACTGCACACATGAAGTTAAGGACGCCATGTCCTTAACATTTACACTGCACATATGAAGTTAAGGACATGACAGGACACTTTGTCCTTAATTTTTACACATCATTCATGAAGTTAAGGACACCATGTCCTTAATATTTACACAGCACCCATGTCTAGCACAGGGGTATTTTCGTCCGGGCGGATAAAAATTTATTAAGCACTGGCTAAAGAGTAAATACATTTTAAACAGTGGTTAAAGAGTAAATACATCTTTAATTAGTGGCTAACTATGCACTTCCCCGCTGATATGCGCAGTTTAACCTATGATCATTGTTCCTTCCCATGCTATTTTGGTCTGGTCAGTATGCAGTAAGCATGTAGAGGAGAAGATAATAACTGAAAGTAGCATTAGCTCTTGTTTGGATTAGAGGGAGACAAATGAGAATTCAATGTCCGACTATTAGCCCGTTTGGCCAAGCTTCTAAAATCAGCTTATTTTGAGAAGTGCTTTTCTCAAAAGTACTTTTAAAAAAAGTGTTTTTGGTGAGAAGTAGTTTGTGTTTGGCTTATTAATTAGAAAAACACTTTTGAGCAGTAATTAGTGTTTGGCCAAGCTTTTGAAAACTGCTTCTAAGTGTATTTTTCTCAAAAGTGCTTTTGGAGAGAAGCTACTTTTTTCTGCTTCTCTAAAACTGTTTCCGCTTCTCTTCAAAAACACTTTTTTCCTTTCAAAAGCTTGGCCAAACAGGCTATACGTAACTACAAAGTGAAGAAAGCCAGAACCAATAATTTCTTAGATTATTACTATGAGCCAAAAAAAGTGGGCTGTCCTATCCTTGGAGATGCGGGGTATCAATCCCCGTACCTCTCGCATGCTAAGCGAGCGCTCTGCCATCTGAGTTACATCCCCTGTTCTTTTGGTTATTTCGACTATTGTTATTTAATAGTTATAACTAAAAGAGCCTAAATTCCCTCAAAATAATGACATTTTACTTTAGGGGTACCATCTCACCACCATCGTTATGCTTTACCATATAGAACATACCTAAATTTGTTTCATTGAGACCTACATACAATTTCTTCAAAGTTGAACCTTGTCAATTAACTACAACATATTAAAACCCACCAAATCAAAAGATTAAGCTTAGTAAATCCAACAATGTTTTTTTATATGACAGGAAGAAAATTTAGGTAAATCAAAATTAGTTACATAATAAGAGTAGTTAGCTGAAGATGTAGGCGTTTAAATAACTCAATGCAGCTGTGAATGTGATCGAGAATCTAAATTCTTCTCATTCTCTCTGTCTCCACTTGTCTGTTTTCTTATTCTGTTTCATTATCCTCCTCTTTCATCATCTCCCTCTACAATCTGTAATTCCTTCTTGAGAAAGCCCTACGTTGTATCATTTTTAGTATCTCGAATAAATCATTTTCTCTTTAATTTTTGTTCATTAAATTGGGTTTATAACATGGAACACTTGTGGTGAACCAAAAACGTGAAATGAACAAGAATCAAAACCTGAAAAGGTCACTACCCTTCAGCTAGAGAGAGCTTTGCCTTCAATAGGGTCAACGTTACCATTTCCCATCCTTTCGATATTAGCATGTAAAGAAACCAACTGACTAGATACCATACGGACAAAGATAGAGTGAGCATTGTACCAAAGAATTTCAACTTTCTTTCTAAAGAAAAAAATGATCAAGTTTAACTCAGATCTTTGGAAACATGCTTTCATAAACGAACCTTTAATAGGTAGAGGTCAAAGAATGGGGAGGAAAGACTACAAAAGTTTACATGGAACCTAAAACTAAATGATCAAACAATTGTCAAGAAGCAATGATCATCACCGCTTGGTAGAACGTGCAGCAGAGCAAACTACATCAGTCCTTTAACCACATAGGATCAATTGATCTTTCAAATTCCGAAGTAACTTTTCAGAGACATGCTCTTATGTAATAATGAGAAGATTGTTTTCGTGTCCGTTGTTGTGAACAATGGGCCTCAAAGGATCGATCTTCCATACGCCATCAACAATGAACTTGATCTGCACGAAAAGAAATGAGAAGCTTGGTACCCACAGGATAACACAGTATGGTATCAAATTAATTGTAATCAATAAAACTCACCTCATACGTGCCTGGATACAGCTTTAGGCTTGCAGAAAAGACACCCCCGCCTGATTTTTCCATTTTTCTCTGCATTTTAAATTTTAACACATCATATCAAGCTGCTAGTCAAGGACAAGAGGCTGCCCCTTGAAATAGAAATGTGCAGTTTTCATTATCATGAGACCACTGACACATCATTCTTCAAGAAATTTAATGTTTTAGGAACAACTTTAGAAAAATCTACTTGATGGTACACAGAACTCTTTAACTCAACTAAAGCAATATTGTTATCTAATTCCTCTCCTAAGAAGTGCACTTAAGAAATTTATTAAGAAGCGCACTTTGGCTTCTGTAGTCTCCATTTCATTGATGCATTCTTATCTGATCTGGACTAATAAGTTGAGCAAATTCTGATATTTGCTATACAAGTTCTAAATACTGTGTAGTATACAACTTAATAAATTTGAAAATGAAGCACATAACAGGAGTATAAGTGATCAGATATTATTCTGATTAGATCCATAGCTCTTCTAGCAAACCCCACCTGGATCCCACCACAGTCAAAAGAAAAGAGAAAAGAAAAGATTGTGAAGGCAATAAGTCATATGATTTGCTCGAGCCCTTGCTCGAGCCAAGTCAGCAAAGCATATTTAAAAGAGAATCTTTTACTTTCCTGCTCTAGCCTAACATGACTAAGTTGTGCACTTCTGTCATATTGGCAAACAGGAAGAGCAAGATGTTGACTCTATCAATGACACTTCTACACTAAACCATGCAGAAGAGAATGTCCATACTGTAATCATTGATAAGACATCATATTCATCCTAAACAATAAGTATAAGATTAAGTTGGCCTGGACAACCACATTAGACGAAATTATGCTTGACGTTTTAACAGTATAGTGCTATCTCCTATTTCCTATTACAAATACAGAAGCAAGAACCTGAGTAGTCCATCCATCAAAAGAACCTGCTAGAAGAACCTCTGAGGCGGAGTTTGTCCAAACAATCCGAGCAGTACGAAGAAGCTGCAAAGCTTTACTAGCACTATCAATCCTCTTCTGCTTCTCTTCTAATATCTTCTGCGCATCACTGAAAATATATGGTAGGGAAACTCAGTTTTGGTTAAGGTATCTAGTCCAAAGTATGTTTATTAAAATGAATGAGTGGCCACACATTATCGCAAGTGTCATTTTCCCCTCAAGCACAGCAAGCTTTGCACGTATCAATCTCAATCTCTCCCGCGCATTCATGAATTCATTCTCCTGAAATTCCCATGCATCAGAAAGCCTTTGCAAATCACTTGGGGAGCTTCCAAGAACCTAAGGAAGAAAGCATGAAGCTACTTAATAATAATAGCACTATTGCACTAAGCAATAAAAGTTAGCAGAATTTTGTTTCCAATGGAAATGACTGTACAGTGAAAATTGAAGACAGAAGCATTGAGGAAAATCTTTCGCAAATAAATTCCCTTTAGCCATGTTCTTTTCTCTTTTCTTCTTTTTTCCTGAATTGTGTTATTACTTATTACCACATCTAACAGCTTAAATTAGTGGCGGACACTTTAACAAAACCTCCCATGCGTGGACCTAATTCTTTTTTCTGAGTCAAGCACTTGGACATGCTATTTGTTAATGGCAGGTGGTGAGACTTGAACCCATTACCACTACCTACTCTGATACTATGTTAAAGATTGTGAATCCTCAATTTAAAACTTAAGCTATATATCGAGGGGGGAACACTTTCTTTATTTAATTATGTCTTAACAGTTTTATTTTCAGCTTTTCTATGGAAAAAGGTGTGAAGTCGAAGTAAGCTATTTTAGGTATTGAGTCTAAATTCCCAAGAAAAATTCCGGGTAGGTTGATGTTAGCAAAAAGTGTTTGGAAATGTGACATAAAAGTTTAATTTGACATGATTATGCCATGTTCACAAACAAATCATGACAAACTAATTTAGACCAAATACATAGATGGCCCCTTAAACTTGCCAAATTCTATTTGACACCTTATCTCAGGGTGTGACCTATTAAACACCCGACGTTACTTAAAATTGACTATTAAACCCTTTCGTAACAGCAGGCCAAAGAATTAGACGTGTCCAATATACACGCAGAGTAACCAATAAAACAAAAACACCTAGATTTTTTAGCTCAAATAATCCGAATGAAGTGTTTCCATTCCAGCCACATGGCTTTTAAGTACACTTCTTTGCATATCAATGGTTCTCCCTCCTCCCTTCGTCTGCTTGCTTTTTTGCCATTTTCTTTTTCTTCTTTTTTTGGTTCTTTTACTCCATGGCAGTTCCACCATTGCAAATGAGTTTTAAGAAAAATCCAGCATCTTCTTCCCATCTCAAGCAATTCAAAGCTGAAATATGAAACACAACAAATTGGTCCACTACAGATGATATCAACAAAGATTTGAGGCTCAGATCTGCAATCCATCTTAGGTGTTGCGGTTCATGGTTGAAGGAAAATGGAGATGTCCAGTTGAAGGTAATCAGTAATGAAAAATCTTTTCTTTTAGAAGGCGGGGCCTGTTAGCAGGATTTTTTCAAAAGAAATGGACAAAGGTCAGCTCGTTCTTGATCAGTGGAGACCAGTGTAGTCATGTTGGCATTTTGTTGGTGGTCCGGAATTTGACCAGGTCGACAGATTCCGATTAGAAGTGATAGGTTTGGCTAGAGATTTGGGAATCACTGTAAGAAGATGAGTGAGCACCGGATGCCTGGTAATACCATGAAGTTTTAGGTGACCTACAGCTTCTTGTTTTAGCATAGAAGGTGAGCTTTGCCTTTGAGGCTTTTCTTGTGAGAGAGAAGGGCAGCCCGGTGCACTAAGCTCCCGCTATGCGCGGGGTCTGGGGAAGGGCCGGACCACAAGGGTCTATTGTACACAGCCTTACCCTGCATTTCTGCAAGAGGCTGTTTCCACGGCTCGAACCCGTGACCTCCTGGTCACATGGAGGCAACTTGACCAGTTACGCCAAGGCTCCCTTTATGGTGAGAGAAGATGGAGAATAAAAAATTAAAAGAAAATACCTACTTCTATTTTTCTTCTTGTGCTGACACATTTTATTGGGCCCATTTTAACATAATTTGAAGTCATTTCATGCTTCTTAAGAGCAGCGTGAATCACACACATTGCCATGTCAAAGGTGTAGTTAATAGAGACAGTTTTAAGTAACATCAGGTGTTCAATAGGTCACACCCTGAGATAAAGTGTCTAGTCACACCCTGAGATAAAGTGTCTAAATATTTTAACAAGTTTAAGGGCCCTTTTATGTATTTGGCCAATAATTTATCGAGGCAAATTCGCTGTCGACAAGCTAATCCATTATTCTACATAAGAAGAATAAAAGGATGAAAATTGTCATTAGCATTTTTGTAAAACAACAAGATACAGATTTCTACCTCCTCCAAACTTAACTCCTCGCTCTTGGATTTCAATGAGCGGAGTGTCAAGGATAGCTCAAGCTCTAAATGCTGAAGCCGAGTGCTTATGTCATTGTGGTTGTCATTTTTCCATCTTCTTAAAGCTTCGGTTCTACTCTCCATGATATTAACTAGATCATCTCCTGCAGCTTCGCTGTTACCTTCAGTCCAACTTTTACTTAGAGCAACCTCACCAGCTGTACATAGCAGCAGTGAAGAGAGTCTACAATCTACACACAATATTAGACGCATGAAAGAGAATACCTTCAAACTCTATATCCTGATGGCCTGCATGTTGTATGCTCCATTTTCTCCACATGGCTGGTGAAAAGCTATGGTTAAGCTCCCCATCTGAATCACTTTGAATGTCATTCATGGGTCTACCTTTATTGAGGCTACCATTTTTTCCTAGGTCAGTCCTGTCTTTTACAATGAAACAGACATGACATCTTATGACTTCGGATTTAGCTGTTTACAGTCAAACTACTCAAGAATAAATATTTTCAGTTCAAAAAGTTCAGGCAAATAGTATCAGATTTCAAGAAATTTTAAAGATATCAAAGACCTAGTACACAAAAGCTATATGATTAAACAGACCTTCAATGCGGTAACTGATAGATTATTCAACCATTTTGCTGATAATATGTCATCCTTCTTTCTGATTAAAAAATTTACCTGCATCAGTGGTTCCAAAGCTTCGGTCATCTATGTTGTCCCTACTTGAAGCATGAGAACTATGTCCGTGTTTTCCCAGATCAATACCAAGAGACGCGTTCCTATTTTTCTCTAGTCGATTCAATATCCCTTCAATCCCACTATCTTCCTCTGCTACCGTATCTCTGTCAGGAAAGGAGAGGAAAGAAAAAAAAAAAAGATAATCAATGAATGATTTTTCACACAATTCAATAGAACCCGCAATTGAATAGCTAAGAGATAAATAGGTGCAGATAATCATTTAGAAATATACTTTGTTTCTTTTTTTTTATTTTTGGTCCTCCTGAGTTTTGTCTTTTCGCACTCTTGTTACTAGTGTACCAAGCTACCAAGTTAGACTTCACTTCACTCTCTAATCCCACCAACTTCATTCTTATAATGAGTTGGCTAATTGTAATTATAAGCTACATCATTTGCTAAGTCGCTGGTTCTAGCCCGGTCAAAAAACAACGCTTTGGAGCTAGGTGGGAATTGTGAAAGAAAGGAAGGGAAGCCTTTAATTTTGTTTACATGTGATCGGCAGATGCTAAAGCCCGTGCCTAATAACAAAAGTTGAATCGAAGCAAAGAATCATGTATCTCATATAAGATTTAGTAAAAGTTGCAAAATGACATAAACACAATGCTATATTCACAAGATCAAACATACATAAAAGTTAAGCATCTAGTATCCAGAGTCCACTGCCCAACTAATCCGAATTCATGCAGGAAGGCCCCATATAGCGTTTATCACCAAAACTAAAGCTAATAAATAAATAAAAGAAAGCACATTTCAGTATAAGGAACCTCACAATGATCTACCAGAGGACGAGGTGGGCTGAGAAGAATTCCCAAATGAAGAACTAGAAGATCCCGAACCAGGAAAATGAGCTTCATTCCCATGTAATGAATCACTTTCTTGACAACTCTTGACTCTCCTTTGAAACTCCTCAATGTCAAAATCCATTTCCACAGTCACAACTTCATTAACGTTCATAGTGCAAGTGTCATCATCCTCGGAGTCCCAACCAAAAGAAAACCACCCTCCTCTATTCTTTATAGCCTCCACCAAATCCACTCTTCCAGCTTCTTCCAATTCTTTCCTTGTTGGAAAAGCATTTGGGTTCTCAGATATCTCCATAAAAGCCAAAATCTCTTCTTCCAGCTCCATATCCCCTTCACTTCCTAACCCTTTCCTACACCAGCAATATGCACTATCCTCAGCTCTTCCCTTGCTAAGCTTAAAACCCCGAAGAAACCCCATTTCTTGGTTTAAAATCGCAGCTTTTCTGCGGTAGTGAAGTCTTTTGGGGGGATTTAAAACGAACATTATAGTAGGAATAGGTGAAAAGCTCAAATGGGTGTTGAAAAAAGGAGGTTTTGAGAAATGGGGTGGTGTCGAAATGAGTGAAACCATCGTTCAGGCATTTCTTCAAACAATTGGAGGCTGAAGAAAGAAGTGTACTATGGTGAAGAAAAGAAGTGAAGCAATGGACAGTGCACTAGGATGCGTAAAATCCAATTAATGAGAACTGATTTGTTGAACCACTTAATGAATACTGTTATAAGTTCTATGACTATCAAATTTATAGACATCGAATGAGTATGAATATGATAAAGCGATTCACACACTTTTCCAGACTTTTGTTTTCAAGATTTGGTTTGGTCCAGCTTAAGGGGTTAGGCTGTGTTCGCCAACGGAGAGGCGTGAAGTTGGAGGAGGAGGATTAGAATATGTGTCAGCTTCTTATCTTGTATAACACACTTTGTACTTTGGAATTTGGATACATCTTGCCGTTTTTGTACTATCTATTGTTTAAATGTATCCACTTGACTTGACCAAAGTTATCTCCTTTCCCTGCTATTCTTATGAATCCTTTGTACCAATTAATCAGCTAAGCCTCATACTAAACGAGTTAAACATGTTTTAATGAATCCTTCATATCTAGTTAGGATGATATTTTTTTAAAGGATTCTTCCAAAGTTCGACTATTTTTCCTCCCATCATCCATTTGTCAGGACGTTTCTCTCCTTTTCTCATCCTTATGTTTGGATGATATGTTTCTTGAAATGAAAAAGGTTCAATTTTATAGTGAATTATGTGAGATGGGGTAACGATCCGACCAGCCATTTTGAACAATTGCATTTTGTTCGGTGGTTTGAGTTCCTAAGTAACTTCGTATGATGTATTACGACTTGCATGCATGGTTGGTTTTGGTTTTCGAGTGGTTCAGGATTGATTTGGAGGAATGATTTTCAATATGGAAGCTTTAAGTTGGAAGACTTGACCAAGTTTGACTTTTGTGTATTTAACCTTGGATCGGAGTTTTGATTTGGGCGATTTTGATGGTTCTGTTAGGTTCGGATGATGATTTGGACTTGGGCGTATGCCCGGATTTGCATTTGGATATTTCTAGAAGGTTTCGACACTATTTGGCGAAAGTTCGCAATTTGAAGTTTTTGAAAGTTCATAGGTTTGACCAAGAGTTGACTTCATTGATATTGGGTTCGGATTTTGGTTTCGGGAGTTGGAATAGATCCGTTGTGTCATTTGAGACTTGCATGCAAAATCTGAGGTCATTCGGAGTTGATTTGATATGGTTCAACATGAGTTTTAGAAGTTGAAAGTTCATTAGTTCATTAGGCTTGAATTGATGTGTGATTCATGGTTTTGGTGTTGTTTAATGTGATTTGAGGCTTCGAGTTCGTATTGTGTTTTAGGACTTGTTGGTTTGTTAGGATCAGGTCCGGGGGACCTCGAGTGAGATTTGAACAAAGTTTTGGCATTTCAGCACTTTGATGATGTCCTGGAGATGTAGAAGTACGGAGGGCACTTTTGGAGTGCTGAAGCAAAGCCTCATGTGCGGCCACAAAGCCCCGAGTGCGGAGGCATTGGCCAAAGTGCGGACCGCACTGAGGGCCGCAACATGAAATCTGCAGGTTTGTTGGTCTGATTTCGAAAGCTTATATCTTTCAATCTATGAAGAATTTAGGGATGATCCAAAAACGAAAGTTGTTGTTCTTTAAGTCTACTTTCCAAAAAATTAAATTGTTTGTCATTTGAACATTCATACAAAAATTTATGGTCAATTTATTGAAAACTAGCAGTGCAGTTACTGCTGGAGTGCAACCGCAAAATATGGATTGCGGCCACAAAACTTAAAAGTGCGTACCACACTAGGAAAACTATGGTCAGTATTGTAGGAGGTCAGGTGTTTATGTATAAACTGGAATTTTGTGTTTTTATTTCATTCTTCACCACTTTAGAGACTTGGGAACTCGATTTTGAAGGGTTTCAACCTAGACCTTCATCTACAAGCTTGGGTTAAGTGATTCTCACATTATATCTATGAGATTTACATGAATCCATCACTAGATTTAACATCAAAAAAGGGGAATTAATAACATAAATTGAGGTTTTTGTCAAAAAAAATTTTAAGTGAATAATTGGATTTTGAACATCGATTCGGAATCGGATTTGGCTGAAACTAGTATGGTTGGACTCGTATTCAAATAGCTTGTCGGAATTTATGAGTTTTGTCGGGTTCTGGTCTAATAAATGGGGATTTTGACTACTTATTAGCGCATTTTAGCTTTTGTTTTAGTCTAAAAGCGTTTACTTGTGTTCTCGAAACTGATGAAATGTACAAAATTGCAGAAATGTTGGAAGTTGGACTCCCAAAGATGAAATCCGACTCAAAAAAGAGTAATCAAAATATAAGGCAACAAAAGGCACAAGAACTTGCAAAGTGCAAACCGCATAATTCCATCTGCAGTGGCAAACAATGAAGAACCAAACAGGCTTCCTAGCAAAATGCGGTCCGCTAAGGAATTGTGCGGCCGCAATTGATGAATTGGAAATCAACTTCAGAGGGTGTGCAATTTTCCAAAGTCCAAGTCCCTCAAGATTGCGGACCGCACAAGAATTGTACGACCGCAGAAGAAGTGCCTTGTGGCCGTAAAAACAAAGACGCGGACCGCAAAACAACAGATTGCGGAAACATTGCCTCGCGGCCGCAGATCCCCAGCTCATGCAAGATGAAGAATTCTGCGGACTGCACATGGAATTGTGGGGCCGCATAATCTCTTGAAGGGCATTTTTGTTCGAAATTTCCAGCCCTGTATAAATAGACGAGTTTCACAAAATTAGGTAAACTTTTGACATCAACAACTACAGTAGTCTTTTCTCTTTACTTCTTTTAGTAGTATTTCATACTTTGGGATATTTTAACATAGATTTTATCATTTTGATTTTACAATATGAGTTTAATTAGCATCTCTTCTTCTATTTCTTTAATTTCAAGCATGAGTAGCTAGATTTTTACTAGGATTGTGACCCAACCCTAGTGTTTAAACCTTATGGGTATTTAATTAAATGCTTATTTATGATTGGGTGCTTATTGTTTAGCCTTGTTCATGCTTTAATTTGTGGAATTAATGGTTGCAAATATTAGTTCATGCCTATTTGACTTAGTCTCTACTTGAGAAAGAGAGATTAGTCTAGAAAAATTTGGCTAACAAGAAATTGGGTCACTCGAGAGATTGATAATCCCAATTAAAGAGTTCAACCTAGAGATAGTAATAACCTGACTTGAGTTTTTATCAACTGTTTTGAGCAATATCCCTTTGGACTTGAGAAAGCCGAATTGGGCAAAATCACTCTCTAACCGAGAGGTATTGAGTATGTAATTGAGGGTTGATAGCTATAATACATCCCGATCAACAAAACAAGCATTAAGGTTTATATCCCATTAGGCAAACATAGGTGATGGTCATAGCCCTAGGCTTTTTACAAAACATGAAAAACAACAAAAACAATTTCTTAGTTTCATTTCTTAGCTTTGCAATCTTAGCTTAAAATAGACATAGAAACAACCCCAATTTGTGGAAGTGTAAATTGAGGTAGTTCAAACTTACGTACTACAATATACTCCTAACTCCCATATATAGCTCCCTGTGAAAATCGACCCCGACTCTTATTGGGTACTACTATTGCAATCGACCGTTTCATATCCTTGATTTGAGGTGTGAATTGGACGAGATCAATTTTCGGCGCTGTTGCCGGGGAGCTAAAAAATTTTTTAGCTATATATTTGGATTTGTGTGTGGATTATCTTATTTTCCTTCAGTGTCACTAATTTGTGTGAATCAATTGCAGGTACAATTATGGCGGCCAATGAACTCAAAAACATGCCTTTTTGGGGATGTGGACGTTGAGGATGACCAAGTTGAAGAGGTTCCTCTTGAAGTTCAAGCAAATAGAAGAGGTCGAGCGCCTCAAGACAATGTCCTAGTTCCACCCCCACCTCCACCAAGAGCGGCTCCACACCGGGTGTTGCCGAATGAAGGGTATGCAAGTGCCATAGTCCCGCCCCATATTAGGGCGGGAAACTTTCAAATTACCAATGTGATGCTCACATTGCTAGAGCAACGAGGTTTCTTCACCGGGGCTCCAAGTTACAATGCATACAAACACTTGAAGGGGTTTGTGGACACTTGTTGGGGGAGTAAACAAACAAACGTCTCTGAGGATGCTTTAAGGTTAAGGCTTTTTCCCTTCTCTCTACGGGAAAAAGCCTTAGATTGGTTGGAAAGATTTCCAAACCGTTCCATCTGTACTTGGGATGAGTTGACGAGAAATTTATTGCCAAGTTCTTTTCTCTCGGGCATATGGCTACTCTTAGAAATGAGATTCTAGCATTCAAACAAGAGCCCAATGAGCCGTTACATGAGATATGGGAGCGGTATAGAACAATGGTCAAAGAGTGCCCCAATAACGACGTGACGGAGAATATGATTCAACAGACTTTCTATCGGGGGATCATTACGATCAATAAATACGTGGTAAATACGTGGAAATTTCAGGACAACGCCGTATACAGAAGCTTGTGAGATTTTGGATGAAATGGCAGACACCTCATCGGCATGGCAATCTAGGGCTAATGTTCCTCAAGGTGATCAGAACGTGATTCACATCCATAAAGAGTTGCATGACCATGGGCAAGCCATTGCCGAATTGACCAACACTATGAATCAATTAGCAAACGCTCAACTTCAAAAGTGCAAAGTCCTAAGAAAGTCAATGCCATGGAGGGAGTAAGCATGATGGTGAACAAAAGAAGGACCAAGGGTCCAAAAGTGCAAAACCGAGTGGAGAATTATGTGCAAGAATATAGTGGGTTTGATCAAGATGAATCTTACAATGAATAAGAGGAAGAGGTGCAATATGTGAACAACTACCAAGGGCAAAGAAATAACTCTCAATTCCCGAATCAACTTCAATGGCGACCTCTAGGTAATCAAGGTAATTGGAATTCTGACAACCAAGGTAATTGGAGTGGTGGCAATAATCAAGGGAATTGGCATAACAACAACAATCAAGGAAATTGGAGTGGTGGAAATAACCAAGGTAATTGGAGTTGCAACAATCAAGGAAATTGGGGAGGTAACAATCAAGGGGAATGGAACAATAATCAAGGCAACTGGGGGTCGGGTTGTCGAAGGCCCCCGAAGTATCAATAACCGAACCCGCCTTCTTATCATTCCCATGGTCCAAGTTCATCCAACAATGAAATGGGGCATATTGAGAATATGTTCAAGCAAATGATGGAGAAGAATACCGATTCTGATGCCCAAGTTGCCTCTCACAATACATCAATCCGTAACTTGAAAGTTCAAATGGGGCAAATCTCTCAAGCTCTAAATACTCATCCTAAGGGGGCACTACCAAGTGACACGGTGGTGAACCCAAAGGGTAGGAACAACACGGGTCATGCCATGGCCATTACTACAATGAGTGGAAAATGTGGGAATGCACCCACCTCAAGCCAAAGGAAATTTGTGGATGAAGAGTAAGTAGTGCAAGA